ATTAACCAAAGCATAATATGAATCATGATATAATAAATAGCCTAATTAGGCAAGGGTATAGGACTTTTTTTTTCAAATTCCCTTATGATGTAAAAGTTTATATTATATAGTACCATACAGTTTCATTTGGTAAACAGAAGCAACCTTTCAACAGGTATACATATTGAGAAATCTGATTACCATGCATCAAGTCCTTGGAGATGGCGATAGAGTTTAGTATGATGAATTTTACAGCCTATTAAGGAAAGAATAACATCACTGTGAATTTTACAGCTTCCTTTCCTTCTATCTCAGCTGGAACAAAATGTTTATTTGTTCTATGCTCTTCGTTACAATTAATATTGTCATTTTACAACTTTCTTCTTGTACTACAAGAGGACAGTCATAGAGTGCATGTAAACTTATTGAGGAAATGTAGATGTAGAAGAAGGATACAATGGTAGACAATCCACACACAGCAAAAGTATGATAATAGATGTCAGGAAAAGAAAAAAAAAACAAAAACAAATGGATTCACCCAATATACAAAGGGACTCAGGGTCCATCAATACTGGAGGAATAAATCAATTTATATCAATCTCACTTGGGCGATCCTAGGGTGATTTTCTTGCCAAAATCAAGATTTAATTTTGATCTTGTTTTGTGAGGTTTGAGTTCTAATTCTTGATCTTGGTTTGGTTCTTTCATTTTCTTTGATCTTTCTGAGTTAATGGCAACTGATCTAGTGAGTTTTGTTGGTAGAAATATTTGGGGAATCTACAAATCGAGATTTTCAAGTTTTTAACGGAGGGTTGATTGATGCTAAGAGGCCCATTCAGAGTAGGGCTTTGTTTTCTCAGCTCAATTCAAGTTTTCAGCCCACTAGAAACTCTAAGCCCATTCGAAACCCTAGGCCCAATCTGAAGGAGAAGAAAGTTTTCAGCCGTTCGATCAAAAGGATGGTGGGATCGCACACTTCTCGTCGCTCAGCTGAGGAATTGGAAAGTAATTGTAATGATAAGGATGATAAGGATTGAATTAGGGTTTCAAACCTAAATAGCCCCAAAAATATTCCTCTTTCTCTTGAAGAAATCAAGCACATACGTCTTTGTTTTAGGTGCGGATCTGAGGATCATTTGGAGAAATCTTGCAAAAACACAAGTTTACTACATTTGCAAAGGTTTTTGGCATGAGGTGAGGTTCTGTTCATCTCCTACAACAATCAAACAACATCGTGACTCTGGAGGAGAAAAATCGAGGCTTTGGAGAGTTTGCTACACTTGCAGAGATAATGGAAGAGTTCAGCAGTTCAATGTTGGTGGTTATCGACATGATGAAGGAGGTTTTCAAGGGTCGAGACAATTTGGGGTCATCGATATCAAGGCAACTGGAATTCTCAGAATACCAGAGTTGATAAGGGCTTTATGGGTTCTAGTTATTTTAGGGGTAATAGATCACGACAGGAGTTTTTCCAAGATCATAGAGATCATGGTGCTCCTAGAAGAAATATTGGTGATTTTCCTCCTTTGAGAGAAGAGAGGAAATTTAAAGGAAGGATGACTGTTGTAGAGGATCAACCATTAAAGAAGAAATTGAAAACTCAGGAGGAGGTTGAAGGTGATTTTGTTTCTGAAGTTGTATTAGAATCTTCTTTGTTCCTTGAATCTGTATGTGAAAATTTTAAAAGTTAAATGGTTGTCTCAGTGTTAGAAGGCAAGGATGTCTCAGTTAGATATTTGGAGGGAAATTTTAGATCCTGTGATCCTTTTCTGACTCAGACATTAGGGTCCCCTTTTTAATATGGATTTTTTAAGTTAAAATTGCTCCTATTCAATGTTTACTAGATATGGTAAAGAGAGTTCTCCTATTCAATGTTTGCTAGATATGGTAAAGAGAGTTCTCCTATTCAATGTTTGCTAGATATGGTAAAGAGAGAAGTTCTATGTCTGGGATCTGCAACATTGAAAGTGAGACAATGGAGTTTTTAGGAAAGAGCTGTAACTGAAGTAAGAAATCAAAGAGTGTAGATAAAAATTAGTGATGTGCCTCATTTTCTATGGAACTGGGAAGCATTCTCAAGTTCTATTAGACACTTCACTGACTTGATAGAGATTGATGATTCCACAAAATCTGGTAAAAAAAATGGTGAAAGCTATTTTGTTAGTTGAATGTGCTGAGGTTAGTAACATTCTCAAAACTCTAACCGTGTTCTACAACAAATGTTATCATGCTTTGAAAGTTAAGATTGTTTCTATTTTGGGGCCTATAACAAAGAATAGAGGTAAAGAAAAAATCAATGTGGCCTCTAGCTTCATGAAGACTGATTTAGGAACAGTTGAGGAAATATATCAATATAGTAAGAGTTCTTCTGATAGTAAATCTGTGTCATTTGGCAACTTGTCTGGTGGGGGTCATTGGAAAGTTAAGAATGATTTGAGGAGTCAACCCTAGGATCCAATGACAAACTCTCTGTGGGGTGTCAAACTACAGAAAATTATAGATTGTGGCATTCAGAAAAAAAAAAGTGATAAAAAAGATGAACAAGAAATGAGAGTGTTGAAAATTCTCAAAAGGAAAAAGTTAGAGTTGTGAATAATAAAACGGTTATTGAAGGGATGATAGGAGAGTCTTCAAACGTTATGAAGGGTGTGGAGTTTTTAGTGATGGAAAATTAATAAGTAGGATAACCTTCACGAGTTGTAAAAGGGGTGGAGTTTTTATAGAAAGAAACTCAAAAGGTAGAACTGACAGAAGAGGAAGATTTTATGCCAGAAAAGAAACAGGGTGACATAAGTGTGGAGAATGAGAATGTTAATGCTCTTATAAGAGAAGAGAAGATGATAATGTTGGAAAATATGTGGGATTTAAAAGCTTGTGATAAAAAAGATATTTCTAATAAAGAGGGTGTATCAGCTGAGAGTGCTATAGTCATATATGGTAGGCAAAATGATGAGGTAGTTGAATGCTAAGAAAAGGATTGCATTGGTTAGAAGAAGTCAAAGAAATCAATCTTTATAACAGTTTCCTATAATTGACAAGGCTTCAGCTAAGATGGAAAAAATGGATTTTGGAATTGCTTCTTCTGATGGGACCTAAGTTGCATGAAAACGGGCACGGGTGCTGATGCGGTTGTGGGTACAGGTACGAGACACGACAAATTTGTGAAATATAGGGTATGGGGACACAGCTACATTTATATATTGAGATTAATAAGTTACATGAGATCATTATTATTTTCTGAATTATGAGCTATTTAAATTTAAATTCCTATCATATTTTTAAGTTTATCTTATTATGTTGATTATTATACTTTGGAAAATGCTCTTTTTTTTAACTAGACACTCAAACCACTCTTTTAAATCATACTTTTTAACTTAGATATGATCTTAAAAAACCGGATCCATATCTAGCGAGTTTCAAGAAATGAACATGAATGGTAGGATATATGTCCAAGAAGCGTACAAGTATTTTAAATCAAAATATATATCAAGTAATTGCGTAAATGTCTGGGTAAATATATGCATATATCCAAGGAGGCCCATGAAGTTTGGGTATAGGTAAGTGTCGGGTACGGGTACGGCTTCTTGATAGAAGTACCCAGGTAACATAGGATGTGACAAATCTTATTGGCAGAACTTTAGGTATGTCTCCATTTATTGGTATTACTTTTGTTCCTGTTTTATTCGAAAATCTAAGTGATGGACAAATAATTCATATTTCTAATCAGTGTGTTGTGATATATAATTCTAATCATGCTCTTAATGCTTTTGATTACATTATAAATTTGGCGAGGGAGAGGGTATGCTCTCTTTGAGGTAGTTCCTGTGTGTTATGTGTGATGGTGTGTAAATTTTTTGGAAAAGAATAACAATTGTTTGCTCTTGAAATGTGAGAGGTTAGGGTTTAGGTAGTAAAAAATTTGGGGTGAATGACTTTTGTAAGTTAAATAGATTTGATATTGTGTGTTTTCAAGAAACAAAGCTAGAAGTAGTTATTGATAGTATTTTGAAGAAATTAGATGGTAATTGGTTAAAAGACTGAGTGTGTCAACTAGTTGTAGGCTCTGCTAGAGGAATGTTAATTTGTTGGTCTGAACACAAGTCGAAAAAGTTGAATGTAAGAGTTGGAGTGTACACTTTATTAGTGGAATTACAAAATAGAAATGATGGTTTGAAATGGATGTTAACATCTATTTATGGTCCTCACTATCATAAAGAGAGGCAAGATTTCAGGGAGTAATTAAAGAATATTTAAACTGTGTTCTGGAGCATGAATGATTGCAGGAGATTTTAATGTTACTAAAAATCAGTGTGATAGGAAAGGGAAAAGAGACCATATTAAAGACATGGGAGAGTTTATTGATATTGTAAATGAGCTTGAGATGATTGATACACCACTAAAAGGGAGAAAATTTACATGG